GGGGAGGGGAGGAGGAGGTGCCCCGCGACGGCACAGGCCCGCGGTCCCTTCGCCTCTTCCCTTACCGAAGTCACACCCCCACCCACCTTGAGGAATCCACACCCCTCACCCCAACCCAATTGCCAAAGAGCCTTCCTCCACCCAAGGAGGTGGGTGTGCTCTTCACCGGTGGGTCGTTCGGAGGGATAAAACTAGGGCTGTGCGGGCAGGCGCTGATGCTGAAGTGCCAACCGTTGGGCACCCACCTGGACCCCAAACCTGGATGCTTTTCCTTCCTGGGGGTATAGTCCCTTGCCTGGAAGGGCCGTATCCCAGGTAGGGAAACATCGTGGGGACAGAGGCCCTGGTGCCTGGCTGGATCTCCCCATTACAAGCTTCAAAACTTGGAGCCAAATCTGAGTGAAACCTGCACCTTCTCTAGGGGACCACATGGGGCCCCATTCATGACTGATGGTCAGGGAGAGCAGCCCCTAGAGGAACATGGCAAAAGTAGGGGCGAACTCCGCAGCTCGTCCATCTACCCGGCTGTGTTGACCTCTGCAGAGTCTCATCCAGCCCAGCCCAGAAGGGGGCTTTGGGTGTGAGGATGGATCACTGCTGGCTTTAGTGGTGAGGGAGCCAACTTGGCAGTTGAAGGGCCACTGTCTGGAGTATTCTGGACCTGCACCCTGAAGGAGAGGGGACAGAGGAAAACTGGGAGGAGGGAGGACCCTCTAAGGGAAAGTTTTTCAGAGAGGGGTTCTGAGGACTCACCCACCCAGCCTCAATTTCTGGTGTAAGGAATATTCACTGATTTTGACATTAATGTTGAACACAATGTAATCGCTGCATTTTACCCCTTATAAATGAACTGGTAGGCTTGGCAGCCCTTCTGGCCAGAGTTTAGGGGTGGACCTTTGCTGCAGGCCATCTCATGACGGATTTGTCCATCTGGCCCCAGCACCTAGACATCATGGGGTCAAATGCTGGCTGTACACACCATCTCAAGTTATCCACACACAGAAAAGGGCAGAGAAATATCAGCTCTTTCTGCAAAAGAAGGAACCTTGCCCAGAGAGATAAAATGACAGGCCCAAGGACACACAGGCCTGCTAATGCCAGAACTTCCCCCCCACACACACCTCCTCTCCTGCCAGCTTCTTCAGCTTATCTTTTTTACCTTTCCCTCCCTATTCTTTTGTCCCCCTCAATCTCTTACATCCAGGGGAGACCTAGGCCTGTGTCCACCTGTCAGAATTCTGTTGTCTCCACATGCTTCAGAGCCCAGCTGAAATCCCAGAAGCCCTCACAGGCAGTAGAGTCCAGCGCCTCTCACCGCACGCTGGCATTACGCATCAGGTGCTCCCCGCAGGTGCAGATCAGGAAGATGTCCTAGGTGCCAGGGGCTGCAGGAGGGACCCTCCTTCAGGGGCAATGCCTACCACAAAGGGATGCAGATGGTGGCCAGGGAAGACACAGCACCAAGCAGGGACTTCACAGACATGCTGGGCTCCCCCTGCGTTGGCCTCTCACCAGGTATGGGGGGAGGAGGTGCACCTGGCTAACTTGGACGGGTTCTTCTCTCACAGGTGCTGTTGTCAAGCAGGTCCCCCCAATGGGCTTGTATTCTTCCTTGGTTTTTATTTTCTACGCTGATGAAAATTTCACCATTTCTACACTTTTGCACTACAACGAACCATGAAACGTTTCCCAATTTATGTAGCTCATTATGTAGCAATAATGACGGCTTTATCCTATTTCTGAGCTTTACCAAAGAGAGGAAAATAAAGGGGACAGTTTTTCTCCTTCTTCAGGTTGAGTCGTACACGTGTCGCTTCTTCCCCTCCCTCCCCTACACTCAATGCGCCTCCGACCAGCAGCCTTCCCCAGAGGCCTACTCTGAACCTATCTTCCCCCATCCAAGCTGATCCTGACCCTGCGACTCTGCAGTTCTCTGTGACACCACTCTCAGCATTCACGAAGCCCCTACCATGAGCTGGACATAGTGACCGAGATAGCCACGAACTATGGTGACTACCCGGAGGCCTGAGAGTGACCCTTCAGTGGAATAGGAAGGGACCCCCCCACACACGTGTCCCCATCCTCGAGAGGCTCCTGCTAGGGCTGGTGTAAGGAGCCCTTATCATCAGGCAAGGTGGAAGGGCGCTTGGATGCAACAGGCTGGGTTCCAGAGAGTGAAAGAGGGCCAAAGAGGTGAAGAGGCCTCCCTAAGATCACACGGTAAGGTGCATCAGTCTCCTGCTGCCCCAGCCTCACACACTTCTTACTGATCCCCTTCATGGGATGGAGGGCAGGCAGCTCCCCCAGCCGCAGACAGAGAGAAGATGTCTTTCTCCCTGGCTTGTGCTGTTGTGGAGGCAGCCGCAGCCTCAAACTCAGGGAAAAGTACTGACGGGACTGAAGTCAGAAAATCTTGTTCTAGACCCCAGTTGCCCTTCAGTGAAGGGTAGTGGGCAAATGTGTCCCTTCTTTCATAAAAGAGGTGCTTGAAGCACTTTCTAGGACCGTGGTGGGGCTTGACCACAGCCTGTAGTTGGAGGCTGGAGGCAAGCGACTGGGGCTCCCATCCAGCTCCCAGACCCCCTGGGCGGGCAGGAAGCTCAGCCACCTCCCCGCAGTGGATGGAGGGCTGCTCGAGGGTCGAGTAGGACAAAGCAGCTGAGAAAGTTCTAGGCTCAGAGTTCAACACACAGCGGTCCTCTGCAAGACGCGGTACGTGAATGTGCAAGATTGTTTAAAAATAAATAAATAAAAACAACAGGCCCTCCCTGGTGGCGCAGCAGGTTAAAGCACAGCACTGAGAATCTAAAAG